TATATTAGTGCCGGGACTTTAACGCGTAATTAAGATTAATTAATTACACAAAAATTAACGCGTTAAAAAATTAACGCATTTTAATCGCACTTATTTTTGCACCGCGGAACGTTTCTCACTGGATGAGTTTCAGGGGTACCGATTATAGCCTACTGGAGCACCAACTAACGTTCATGACTTCAAACAACAACAAACCACAGTGAACAATAGTCAAACGTGAACCGCCTGCATATCCGTCATCTCTCTCTGGTACTTGATGACGGTGCTGTTGAGCTTCTCCTTCTCCGTCCTCAGCTCCTGCTGCAGCTTCCTGTTCAGTTTCTCCTTCCTGTGCACCTCAGTGTCGATCGTGCGCTGGCCTCCTCGCCCCGACTCCCTCCTGTTCATCACCTCGGTCAGCTTGTTGATAGCCTGGGAGCAAAAAACACAGCAGCTTCTCAGGAATCCATATGTGATGAATATGGATTCAGTACATACTCAGGGCAGCCTGCAGGGATATCCTGGCTGAGAGATAGATTTTTTTTTCAGTGATTTTGCCCAGAGTTCAACACTAGCCCTGCAGCTGAACAGTATTATTAACTACAATTGATGTGACATAACAGTTGTAAAAAGTCAGACAGTAAAAGTAGAAATGTATAGGAAATATCCCAGGCTTTCCAGACCTGTGTAGGCGCCCAGACACACACCTGAATTTTGAGCGTCCTTTCATTCTGCAGCAGCTTTTCAAAGGACAGTTTGTGCGAGTTCATCTGCTTCTCCTCCTCCATTGCTTTCTGGAGCTCTGTATACACAGCAGAGAAGAATATTAAATCTGGGCTTACATACTTTACTCACTTAACATCACTTTTAGATAAGATATCAATAAATGGTACTGCAACTTTGAAGACCAATATACTGCAGTTCTACAGAGGATTCCTGATTGAAGAGATTAATGACTTCTTTCATGACCTTTTAACAACCCTATCACCATAAATCATCTGGATAGGTAAGACAGATTTTGAACACGTTTTCCAGGACAGAGGGAAATGTCATACCTGTAAATGTGTTCTCTATATGTGGTTCTCATTAACTTCACATGACACTCACGTTGCTGCATGTCTTTCAGCTGGTTGTTGAGCTCCTCTTTCTCGCTGGCCAGGTTGGCAACATCCACCGTCAGAGTGCGATTGGACTCTTCCAGCTGCAGGGGGTGACAGGGGGGCAAACAAGAGAAATTCATTGACATATAGCACATTTAAAAACAATACCATTTTTTGTTTTACTGTATCATGTCAACTCTTGTGGTTGTCAATGTTCTAATCCATCCGTCCAGGGTTGATTTGACATCTGGGCCACTAGCTAGAGACAGTTCACTTATTGATAATCAGCTTATTTAAACAGTGGGTAACTCCAGATCTGAAAATGAGGCCCCCTCACCCTCTCTTAGTTGTCCTGACATTTTGCTGTATTCCTGGATGCCTGTGAGCTCATTATTAGTTTGTTTGATCACATCAGACACTCAATAATGCAGCCAAGATAGACTAATATTGCCGTTTGTCATATTTTATGACTACATCAAATACATAAAGAATGTCTGTCTTGAGGCATTATTCGAATTTGAGTCTGGGAAAGTTAGAAAAACTCACTTATGTAACTCTGAACTGTCTCCTTTAACCAAATCACACATAATAAGCTATTCTATGTGATCTTCATTCGATAACTTATGTTATATTTTTGAATTTCTACTCACTGAACTTCTTCTGAAGGAGTTTGGAGCCCCCCCGGGGAGCCTGCCTCCCAGCTAGTAAAACTCTGATCTTATTCATGTCACCCTTTGGAGTTTCTGTACACCAGTAAAGCAGTTTGTAGTGCAAACATGCCAAGGATGTCAGATATGTGCAATTTATATATATATTAGGGCCGGGACTTTAACGCGTTAATTAAGATGAATTAATTACACAAAAATTAACGCATTTTAATCGCACTTATTTTTGCACCGCAGAACGTTTCTCACTGGATGAGTTTCAGGGGTACCGATTATACTGGAGTACCAGCTAACGTTCATTACTTCAGACAACAACAAACCACAGTGAACAATAGTCAAACATGAACGAAGAAGCTGATGAGACCGCTTTGGTTGGCCCCGTGGATGGGACATTTTGTTTTAAAAAACGGACGGATGGAAGCGTCAATAAGAGCACGGTTGTTTGCAAATTATGCAAAAAGGAATTTGCATATCACCGCAGCACATCAAGCCTCAAGTATCACCTCAATGCAAAACATATAGCGTGGAAGCTAGCTTGGACGTTAGCCCGACTCGGAGTACAAGGACCCACACCCAATTCGCGTTGATCAAACAGTGGCCTATGCAACAGAGAGATTTTATTTTTCACCAGGATATTGGAAGAATAGGAGGGATTGAGGTCAATCACTGGCACTTTTTTATTTTAAATGGTACACTTTATGTTGAACTATTTATTATGTTGTTGGTGCAACTGGCACTTTATGTTGAACTGTTTATTGTTTTAGCCAAGGTTATTGAGAGAGTTGGACTGAAATTGATTACATTTTTTAAATCAACTGTTGGTAAATCAACAAAGTCTGTTATGGCCTCTGAAGCAACAGAGAGATGTTTTCTAATAGTCAGGGTTTCCAATGTTCTGAATGTACTTGAAAGTATTGTGTTTTACTTAAAAAACAAAGTGTTATAGTTTACAGAAGGTCTACCNAAGCAGTTTGTAGTGCAAACATGCCAAGGATGTCAGATATGTGCAATTTATATATATATATATATATCAACAATACAGGTTTGTTAAATACTTTAGAAACGTCTATTACAGGATTATTACTTGGAATCTTATAATAAAACAAAAAAAAGTATTTGAAAGGTTTAAAACGTTGTGGATCTAACAAAAACATGTATTGATCTTACCGAGCTGATTGTGGCCTCCTTGTCTCCGAGGTCCAGTTTGTTTCTCGCCATCATATCTTTGATCTCCAGCTCCTTCATGATCTTCTCCTTCTCCAGATCCGAGTACTGCTCCTCAGCGAAGGAGCGAGCCAGCTGCTCCGAGTCCGCCTTTGTCAGACTGGACTCCAGCTGTGCTGACATGGAGCTCCTGTGGAGGAAAGAGTGGGACGAAATGTTATTGCCATATTATGAAGCTGTTATTATGCCAGTCAGAAGCAGGCTGCCTATAGTTTGGACAAACATTATTCTTTGAATGACCTTTTTGTCAAAGCTCGATTTGCCAAGCGAGCATTGCACTGGATCATATTTTTAACTTCTTGTCCACAGTTATCTTTGGCTGCAAGGCATCGGGGGCTGCTAATCTGATTCACTCATTCTGCTAAAGGTCAACTCCTCCATTTTGGCTGTGAGATGAATTCAGAGGGCAAATAGCACTAATCTGGAAACTGTGGTACATTATTTAAAAAACAGTTCAACAACATTCACCTCTTAAACCTAAATCATTTATTTGTATCATGCATTAATTCCTTTTACAACACCTTGTTTGTGTTACATACTTTATACTTTGCTTGACATTAACATATTGTTTGTTTTTGCATATGCATGTTTTAACTTGGATTATATACGTATTTTAGTTTGTATGTTTAATCTTAGTTTTGGTTGATATTTGGACAAGATAAGATGAGCCTTTATCGTCTCCCTTAGAATAAATGTGTGTAGGGCGTTGGATATTCACAAACTAAACGCTGGTAGCCCATAATAGAAATACCAGGTGTTACAGTGTGACTGCTTACCTCTCCTCCTGATATTGTCCCAGTTGTAGGTGCGCCTCTTTGTACAGTTTACTCCTCTCAGAACACTCGTCCTTCAGCTCACGAATCTGCGTCTTGTAAAGAGTCTTCGGAGGGAAAACAGTTGGAGATGAAATGTATTTCTCATGACATATTTGGGATGAAGCCGCATATCTTTCTATTCAAGTCCCCTATTGTTGATCGATTGAGACTTGTTTTGCAGTTCTGGCAGTATATCTTTGTAGAAAATGTGCACAAAAGGCAAATTGATGGTGAGACTTACTGTGAAATACTGCTCACTCTCCAGTTGGTCCTTCAGCTCCTTCAGCTGGCCGCCGGCCTCCTGCCTCTCCCTGGAAGAGGACCAACAGTCTGTCAATCACTATCCACCAGAGCCAAAAACATTTGCCTCAAACCAGATACGATGAATACGATTCTCCACAGCAATTTATCAACAACACATTGAGCTGCTCTCTGTGTGTGTGTGTGTGTGTGTGTGTGTGTGTGTGTGTGTGTGTGTGTGTGTGTGTGTGTGTGTGTGTGTGTGTGTGTGTGTGTTAAATGTGCATTATGCTCAGTATTCGTGTTTGACCTGCGTAGCTCCTGGATCTGTTTCTCCATGATATGCTTCATTTCCAGCAGGTGGTTGAGCTCCTGTTTGAGCTGTTTTTCGGAGGAGCTGAGCACCGACACCTGCTGGTTCTGCATCTTCAGATCGCTCTGGGTCATGCTGCGCTTGTGGATCTCCTCCTCCAGACGCAGACTCAGACTCTTCACCTGCACAAACACACACAAGCATTTTCAGTTTTGGCACTAAATGACAGTTATGTGATACATTTGGAGAACAGATGCTGCAAGTAATGTTTATATTAGTTATGTAATATTCAAATTCTTAGTCTAAAAAAAGTTGCTAAATAAGGATAAATGCCCATTGCAAAAGAGTACAAAATGTCATAACATTAGCTCAATAATCTGAATGGACTTGGAGAAATGTGCTAGGGAAAGCTGCAACTATCCACAAAGTAACGTGTTTTTGTAGAAGAATTATGAAATTAAGTATTCAAAAATGGTTTTACACAAACCCTTTAACTTTTTTCACATATGGAACTTTTTTCTGGACTATAATGGGGATGAGGGGGCCCAAGCAGTGTTAATTTCGTCAACGAAAACTATGACGAAAAATGTTCGTCAACGACCTTTTTTACATGACTGAGACGAGACGATGACGAGCTAAAAATAGATTCTTGATAACGAAAACTATGACGAAATGTATATTTAGTTTTCGTTGACGAGACGAGACGGGACTAAGGTGTTAATGGTGGACTATCGGACATTCAAAATGCAGCATATTTCCCCCCAAGTGTCCATCTTGTCTGTCAAAATGCACCTTACGTTTCTAACTTGCAATATCATTATTTCCGCTCTCTTCACTCCAGAAGAGCGATCTCCGTGTCTCTCTGTGTGCGGGGGGCGGGGCCTAACAGACACGCTGCAGCGGACACAGAGATCTGCCGGGGACGGAGTGTTCAGAGAGTATAGAGACACATTTTGACTAAAAGTTGACTAAAATGTAATTTTTCATCGACTAAAAGTTGACTAAAACGTTTTGAGTTTTCGTCGACTAAAACTAGACTAAAACGTTTTGAGTTTTCGTCGACTAAAACTAGACCAACACGTTTTGAGTTTTCGTCGACTAAAACTAGACTAAAACTACGAAGGATAGGAATGACTAAAATGTGACTAAAACTAATAACCATTTTCGTCTAAAGACTAAGACTAAATCAAAAACAGCTGCCAAAATTAACACTGGGCCCAACCCCCCCGATGTGGTCTCTACGGACTAGCATGGACGGAGATTTCAAGGCTTATTTCCATATAGTTTACAATGTCTAACAATACTTTATGTCATTGATATATTCATTCAACTGTTGTAGTGTCTTTGTAATTTTCTTTATACAATGTATTTATTTTTGGAATTTCTTTACTTATTATCATTTCTTTATATTTTTTATCTTTGACGTCATTTATTTATTTACACTTTGTATAATTTGATTGCATGTGTGGAGAATGTTTTCTGTGTTTGGGATAATTCGAAAAAAAGGGCGTACATATTGGTACCATGCTCCTGTGTCAACCTGTGAAAATTCAATAAATATATTAAAATAAAATGTTTCACCTTCTATAAAGTGATGAATTCATTAACACCGGGACTAACCTCTTGAGAAAGTTTATCCTTCTGCGCCTGCATCTCGTTGAGTTTCTGCTGCGCCTGCTTATAGTCGCAGTCCAGCATGGAGTGGGCCTTCTCTTGTTGCAGCAGCCTCGCCTCCACCTGCAGCTTCAGGCTCCTCTCCTCCTGCAGAGTGCACTCCATCTCTGAAACAAAACAATCATGAAATCCATCAGGGGATAACCCGCCCTGCACTCAATACCAAAGTATTGACAAAACAATTTGTTTTTGTCTTTGTTTAAAACAGCTTGGAGTACCAGATAAATGTTCAGGAGGACAATCAGAGGGCAGTGTATTGTATTGGAAAGCCAGGATGTTTTAGTTTCTGTTAGGAAAGGCAGTTTCTCAATGTCTACGTAATCAATCACTCATTCATCTTTTATAAGTGATGTTTCTTTTACAGCCACTTTTCCCCTATCATACGATAAGTCAAACACAATTTGATCTCCTGAACACATGCTGATGCATCATCTTTCACTTATTTCCCCTCCTACTTGCTCACCTTTTAAGGCCTCACACTTTGCCTCCTCGATGGACTCGTAGATGTTGTCTTTATCTGCGAGCTTGGATTTGGTGGCTTTGTGTTCGGCCTCCTCCTGCTCCAAACTCTGCTGGAGCGACTTCAGATTGAACGTCAGGTCGATCTCTTGGTTGCTCTTCTCCTATGGATTCAAAGGGGTTATTATACAGTCTTTTAATGGCTATCGATACATAGGATTGATTTGTACTGTAATAACTTGCATGGGAACAGGCAATGGTACACTTTTAAAAAGTTGGACAACAATGTCAATGCTATCTAGAAACGTCAACATGAAGATTGCAAGGAGAACATTTATTCGACTAACCTTAATCCTCTATTCTGGAATTGGAAATTAGAAATAAGAAATAACAACCAACCTTCTCAAGATCGTTGAGCTTGTCGTGTAGCTGCTTCTTTTCGGTGTGGACCTTAGAAACAGAGGACTTCACCTCTTTTACTTCTTCTTCAAGGCCAGAGATGCGTCCTGAGGTTGATTGAAATAAGGAAATTAAAGAAGGAATAAATGTATTCCAGTGAGAGTAAACACTACAAGAAAATTCACCTGAACTGCTCAGTTTCAAACAAAAATGATTCTAGGTAAGATATGAAATACTCCAGCACGGGTTCAGCCTCCAAAGTGTGAAAAACAAAAACACTTAATGTTTATTTTCCTTCAAGTAACCCCACCCACATGGAGAGTGCTACTAGGAAAAAAAGCATGAGGCATGGCAGCAAACAGGCAACACTTTTGTTTGACTGTGTCCCCTCTAACCTCATCGACTGGACTCTCTGTACGTGTGCACGTGTACGTTTTCCAAACATCGTCTCACAAGAGGTGCTGGCTCTGCTCCGTGTTTGGCTTTCACAGCCTCTTGCTTCACTCTCGACCTTTTGAATAGATGTTTCCACCTATGATCTGATATTTCCCAAGGCCCGGTCCAAAAATGATTCACATCTACAGTAATACCAAGCCTCCAGCTCCAAGTTGTGTAACGCCAATTGTCCTGCTAGTGAGGAGATGTTTACTGAATAAAGATCACAGTTTGATTACCTGCAGTTATCGCAGTGAATGAACCTTTCTGACTAATATTGCCAACCTCATAACATTTTAATCAATGCATTAGAGTTTGGAAATAATGGTTGGCTGGATGCTTCGGGGATGACTATTAAAGACAAATGTAACCACATTTCAACAGTGTTTTTGATTTGCTCATATAAATAAAGACTGTGGGCAGACCTTGTGAAGGTGTCAGGGGGGGGGGTCCAAAACTGGAGCTTAATAACCGGCCACAGGCCAAAAAGCACATAACTATTGTACTCTATTGCGTTGTTAAAATAAAAATGGATGCTATGTTTGCTAGATCCAAAGTTAATTGTAATATATTTGTCCCTGTGCGACTGTCTCACCATTGTCTTCCTCATGCCTTTGACTTCCTTTGCCCCCCAAGTTCAGATTATGAAAAATTTCCAGATCATTTGGCAACCCGACACATTTTAAAAACATTCATAAATGGCCCCTATTTTAGATTTTTCACCCTCTGTCTGAAACCAGAGCCCAGTTTGCTCTGATTGGTTAGCTGTCCTGCTCTGCTGTGATTGGTCAACCGCCTAGGGATGTCCCAACCCTAAGCTTTACCCATACAATGTATTGGTGGGCTAGCCAATAGAAGCGCAGGTGTTACATAGTGATGTCATAATGTAAAGGAATTAAACAAAGTAGTCCAATGAAGGCATGGGGGTGTGTGATATAAACTCAAACTGTGGGGGGGGCGGGATTTCAGCCTTTGAGGCATGCACAAAAACCGATATAACTCACTACAGGAAAGGGCAAACCACCCAACGCATAATAGGGCCTCTTTAAAAACCTGTGTGCCAACTTTGGACCATGGGCCCCACTTTGGGCCGTCCTAGTTCCAATGGACTATTTAACTTAGACAATGTTACTTTTGTTACAAAGCAGTCAATGTAGCAAAAAAAGACAGATATATTTTAATGTTTAGTAGTTAGCTTAAACGTTAAGTCTAGGTGAAGTTTAAAAGCCAAGCCTCACCCTGCAGGTCAGTAATAGTTTCGGTCCCGATGCTGCGGCCCCTCCTCTCCTCCTCCAGCTCGGCCTGCAGCCCCCTCAGCTGCTTCTCCAGCTCCTGCTTGCTGTTTTCGAGCCGGCTGCACTTTTCCTGCATCTCCCTGAGGCTGAGCTCCAGGCACTGAGCCTGTTTCTGCGCCTCTGCCTGACTCTTCTTCAGCCGCGCTGCCGCCTCCTGCTCAGCCAGCAGCATGGCGTTGGCCTCCTCGAGCTACAGACCAGAAACAGGAAGGATGAAACGTTTCCCTGCAGGCTAAACTGGGTGAGCGCAGCAGCAAAATTAAAAGGGAATTTAAATGAGGGAAAAGCAGAGGAATAAAGCAAACAGTTTCTTGCTTTAACACGAATTATAACATTAGAATATTTGATTTACATTAATATGTATCCTACAGTGAAGCAATTTAAAACAGTTAGCTGGAGTTAAAGGCTCCCCCTCACTTGTCTCTGCAGCTCGATGTTCTTCTCATTGAAGATCTGGGAATTCTGGTTCTTCTTCCTAAGATCCTCTAGCTGGTCCCTCAGAAGGTTCACTGAAGATACCGACACATAAAAGAGTTAATGCAGTCTGTGATATAACACATTCAGAAGATACTGAATACACCACCCACTAATAGCCAGCACATAAAACCATATATACTGTGAAAGGAACACTGGCATGTGGAGCTCCCATATCCTTGTGGTTAATTAAAATGTTTAATGATCAACTGTAGGAGTCTGCTATGTGAGACCCATTTTGTAAGTGAAATATATGAAAATTAGAACAAATTAAGACCTACATGGATTCTGTCAGCAATATTTTCTGCGTATGATAAAATACCATTGCATTTAAGAATAAGAAATGCATTTATTAATCCTTTTGGGGAGTTTCATGCCTCAATGTTCAGATTTGATATTTCCCAGGTGCTCACATTCATTCTCTAGGCTGCGTTTCCTGTCCGCTTCCATATCCACCTTGCGCAGGTTTTCAGCGCTCTGGTGCTGCAGCAGCGCTTGCTCTCGCTCCAGCTGCCTCAGAGAGGCCTCCACTTTCTGCCTGCTACTCATCTAATGAGGGAAATCACAGAGCGTCAGTGGAATGAAGTACCTACTTTATCACATGTATATGGATTAAATAGGATCAATCCATCCTTACCTCCTTGTCTAACTCTTCCACAAGCTTGTCTAAACGGTTGTTGGCATTTCTGGGAAAGAAATAACAGTTTTATTACAGACTTCTTCCCACGAATCATTGAATAGAGAGTACTATAACAATGGTACTATTCGTTTAATTATGGTTGAGAGTGATTTTATTTTCTCTTTCTTTCAACATTGTCCATTATGAGAGTCTCAAAACTCTATCTCTGTGGGATGTCACTTCTTATTGTGTTAAGTATTCAAGAACACTAAATCCTATTGAGTAATTATACTATATAATAAAATGTCTTAAAGTGCATTTGGAATTGATCACTTTAATTATACCTGCACAAACTTTAAAATGTTGCTTTAAATTAGATGGTTATGTAATTATTTATAAAAATCATATCCGCTAAGCGCAAAAGGTTTGATGATGAATTATCATGAAAGAAACATTTGCAAATTATTTCATCTTGTATTAACAAGTTTATACGTTCGGAATAAGTATTACATTAAAAAAAAGGGTTCAGTATTGTCATTTGTCCGGTCTTACTTGCACTTGTTCTCCAGCTCATCTTTGGCCTGCATCTCATTGTAGACCTGCTCCTCCAGCTCATGAAGCTTTTTCAGCAGCTGCTCGGACAGATAGAAAATAAAAATGGTATCAGATAAGAGTCATTTCCATATTTCTTTTTGTCCTCTTTTACCATAATATTAAGACAAGAAGCCCACCTCTTTCTTACTGTCCGAGCAATGATCCTTTTCCTCAGAGTTTTCCTTACTCTCCTCTGAATCCTCCACAGAGCAGTTATTATTTACCTTCAGCAGCCTGACAGATAAAGAAGGAAGTGGAGAACTGTCAATGTCTTCAGCTGAGATCCCTTGTGGAGCCTTTCCAGCCCCAACAGCATCCAAGACTACCCACATGTCCACATTTCTACAACCAAGTGACGCATTTGATCCAAACCAGAACCATTATGCCAACTGGGCTCTCATGGGAGACTCAATATTCTCGCCAAATGTATTGCATTATTATATTCATGCATTAAACAAAAACACTGTGGTGCTGTGAAGAACAAGCAGGAAGGACTGAGGATATTTTTAACTTCCTCATCTGGATTAGTTTACCTTTGGAGAAAGCCAAACCCACACTGTCTGCCAACTGTTTACCAACATGGTGGTGGACTAGTCATGGTGGGCAACTATCTCTATCCCTGGGAACCATTACATGACTCTGCCACATGACTTCATAATGACAAAGTAAAGCCATTTTTTTTGGCACAATCTTTTTAAGACAATTTGTGCTTCAACAGATTTTGCCTGTGATCATAATTCTAAAAATGGAAATGGATGAGCCAACAGAAATGTTTCTTACGTCAAAGAAATGCTGACCCTAACCTTTTTTTTTTTTATTGCTTGCTCATCATTCATGTATTATCAAGAATGTATTCGTAATTTTTACCAGCTTGATGGTCATTTACTGACTTAAATGTCATCGTTTGCCCTCGTGTCCATTTTGTCAGATTCATGTAAAAGAATAAATTGCTTGCACACAATCTTTTGAATGCTGTATGAATAAAGCCTTACAAATACATAACTCAAGGTTTAAAAAATGCTGAAAAAAGCACAATAGGATCATAAATCTGCTACGTTTTTTTGACTGCTTCTGCAACCAAAAGAGAGCAGTGGTTAAAAAACTCCATCATAAGCAAAGGTATTTAAAAAGGGGCTGTCAGAACAAGGCTGCAGTGTGGAGCAGGAACAGGCATACAGTGTCTGAGTGCTGTAAGGCTGTATTAAAGGTAAGGGTGTGAAGCTGTCTTTTCTCCGTCTTGCATTACAGTGCTGTCCTTAAACCTGCTTTCTGAGACTAGTACATTAAAGTTCCCACACAAAAAGAGCTACATTTTGATTTTGTTAAATTACAAAAGTGTACTATCGAAAATATCACCAACAATTTCCAGGCACAACAACAGCGACAACATGAAATACTTTGTCAGAATTGAACACTTACTGGTCCTCTTTGAAGTAAGTAAAGCCGATGAATGGCAGCTGGTTGCCCACAAAGGCTTTGGGTGGAGGAAAGGTCTCAACATCCTTTTTATCAACCTCTACTTCGTCAAAGTTGCTGGTGTCGATGTCGCCGCTCAGCTCAGGCACAACTGGAGCCACAGCTGGACGACAGAAAGAGAGAGAAGAAGAGAAAGAGAGAGAGAGAGTCATGGAGAAAAGAGGGAGAGGAGGAGGTGCAAACCAAAAGGGGTTAAGAGGGGTGGAGAAACAATAACAATGTTTTTAAAACTCAAACTTAAAGATTAAAATCTGGTGGGACAGGTATTTCAATTTACAGTACATATTGAACAGACTCTAAAAAATGTTCAGGTGTTTCTGAGTAAATAATATTCCATGTATAGCTCTACTTGTAGTAAAGTAAGCTCTCTGCAGGTTGGCATGAGTCTGACACCACTCCTTTTCCCACACAGTGCTCGCTTTGTGCCCCACACACGGTACCTTTCACAAACCTAGCCAGCTCCGGTGAGAAGAGAGCAGGCGTGCCTCACAAAAGTCTGCACAACACAACAGGCAGACAAGAATGTGTCAAAAGAGCCAATCAGATAAAACTAAGCTAGTCCTTTAACCTATAAATAGTTCCTTATTGAGAAAAAAAAGCTGCCATTATGGATCAAATTCCTCACACCAGTGCAATTCTGGCTCTGAGCAAAGAGCTCATTACCGTTAGGTCAGGTCAAGTCACCGTCACCCTAACCTTAGCCCTAACCCTCAGGGTGACAAATGGGACTCAAAAATTGTGGAGAACGTACATGGAGAGATCTCAAGCACAGGAATGAAACAAATGAGGGGTAAATAAAAAGAAGAGGCAGAACAAAATAAATGCTAAAATGTGGTGGGACAGAAAGAGACACAAGGACGCTCCATGGAGGCCCTTGTGGCACGGCTACCCAGAATGCTCTCTGATAGCGGGCGGCTAATGACAGGCAGCCATGGCCACAGTGAGAGTGAGAGAGCGGGAGCAATACTCCAAACTGGGGCGCCCCTCTCATTAAAGCAGTCCACACAGGCCACACTGCCTGCCCCACCCGCTGCTACAGGGGTGCTGCCTCCATCCATTCATCCATCCATCCATCCATCCATACATCCATCGGGCTTCATTTCATCACCCTCTCACTGCTTAATCATCTCTACAAACATGAAGACAACTGGGGGAATCTTCAATAGAGTCCAAACATGGAAAACATGGCCACACTCAGCAGGGAGTAAAGAAATCAGACACACGGGTTAGGAGGTAAATGCAGCTCTGCGGGATGCCAGACTGGGAGCAAGAGTGTGTGTGTGAGTGTGTGTGTGTGTGTGTGTGTGTGTGTGTGTGTGTGTGTGTGTGTGTGTGTGTGTGTGTGTGTGTGTGTGACTGGACAGTGGCACAGCGGTGGTTTTGTGTTACACAGTGCCAGCCAGTCTGGAGTTAAGTCAGGAGTTGTGTCTGTTGTCTTAATCAAAGCCAGGTGAAGCACAAGAGAAAGAGCCTGTATGTGATTATATACATACACAGGGGTCCTGTTCATATTCCCAATATATATAGATATATATCCCTTTCCTTATTTCCTTCCTTCCTTCTTCAGTGATGTTGACTGATATAACTACATAAGGGGAAATGAGCTTCAATATTTAAAAAATACAGTAAGGTTTGAGCTTAATAACATAACCACCAATGGATGTCATAATTAATGATTAAGGTGATTTGTTTGTTGACCCAGATTGGTCAATGTCTCATCTTTCTTTTTTATAAGTCTAACATAAATGAATTTACTGAATTTTTCATTGTTTGAGACTTTTAATTGAGCATCTCAGTTGTATCACTGCGTATGCTAATATGGGTACTAGAATAATAATAATAATGATAATAAAATCAGCTTTGTTTGATATTCTCTCATCTGTCTCTTAGCTATTCTTCTGAAGTGTATGAAGCTGGTTATCCTGTAGGTGTTGTGCATCATGTTTTCTGCTGCTCTGCACAGCATTCAGCAATATCATTAAAAGATGAAGATATGGAGAGCATGTAGACCATACATGCAGGCCCTAATGGCTGAGGAGATGGAAATAAACTATGAACTCAGGCTGAAAAGACGCATATCTGCAGAGGAATGGGCGAGAGATGATAAGAAGTACAACCAAAAATAGAAAGCAATAGAGGAATGGCCATGAATGGTGGAAAAGGAAGTACATTTCCAGAAATGGAAAAGTCTGCACCTGCATTGTAGGGAATACAAAAAAACACAATATTCTAAACTTGCACACACTTACTCTCTCGGATGTTGTCAAAGGTCCACTGGTCGTTCTTGAAGAAAGGGTGGCACTTTATCTCATCCACTCCGGTGCGACCCAGACGAACCTCCCTGCACACAACAACAGGACAGGAGTGTGAGCGGAGACTGAACACAAAACACACTCCACTCCACCCACCGTCACCATCAACATGTCATCCCAAAAACACAGGCAAGCAGAGAGACCACTAGGCGCTGACCACACTGACCAGCATGGACTGCTGTATGACCGCTGGTGGAGACTGGAACCTCCTCCAACACAAGATAATGTAGATCCAAGAGGAGAGGAGTGAAGACAGCAGGACCAGAGCACAGGAACCAACATCAACAACTCTCACTGACTCAAACACTGACTGCTAGTGCTGACTTCCCTCCTTCTCCTCTCTCTCTCTCTCTGTAAAAGTCTACAAACACTTTTAGTCTCTCTTTCTCGCCCCCCTTTCCTCCCTCTTCCAGAGCTGGGTACAGGGCCGGAGGGGTGCGGCAGTTTGGGCTTGCCACGTGTGGGACATTCCAGACCCAGCCAAGAGGAAGAGAGGGCAGGGGCGGGGAGGGAGAACGCTTTTAAACCTCCGCAAAAAATACAGGCCATGTCTCATGCCCAGAAAACTGAATGAGTGTTTAGGAGAAAAGCTAGGCCAGAGAAGGACAAGGATGGAGAAACAGAAAGTGGCACCAAGAGAAGGTAGAAGGGAGAGAATTATACATGAGGAGTGAGGAAAAACACATGGGAAAAGAAGGGAAGGAGGTGTGCTTACAGGAGTGACTCAGCAGGACAGTGACAGAGCATGTTGGTTAAGTGGTGAATGAATGTATCGGTCAGTGTTCAAGCTGTGTGTGTGCGTGTGCGTGTGTGTGTGTGTGTGTGTGTGTGTGTGTGTGTGTGTGTGTGTGTGTGTGTGTGTGTGTGTGCTGGGCAGCCTCACACATGTGAGATTCTGTCTGTGGTGAGAGAATGGTGAGTGAGAAGGTAAATACACTGAGTGAGGAAAAATGAAAGGACGCTCTGTATTGAAGCAGAATGGGCCTGTGTTTGAGTCCACTCGGGGGCGGGGCTACTAATGTAAACAGGAAGTGGTACATGACCGTCACACTCACGTTTTAATAATAATATTTGCTGACACATGTCAAAATGGCACTATGGTTTCTGGGATCAGCACTAGCCAGACTGAAGTTGCTGATATGGTTTTATGCAAACTGATTAATGATTAATATTAGTTTTATTTAAAGTATTTTTCTGGCAATATTATATTTTGGGGTTTTTGTCAACAAATCCAATGGAAAAAAACAAACAACCATGAATCAATCCTACAAACGAGAGTTGATTGTTTAACCAAATCTTGACTTAGAGTAACTCCTCTCTACCATAGCTCTCCATTTCCCTCTAAAACAATATTCATCAGTGAGCCACACCATTACACTGGTTTCATTTCTCTTCATTAAAATGAACACTGCATACTGTTGTTTTACACATGTGTTAAAAGCTACAGTGCCCAGCTGTCTAATGACACCATGTGCTAACGAAGGGTTGTGCAACGTGTTGTGCTAGGTGATTTTTGTCAGTTTTATCATAGCTAACACAATTCTAACACTGTTTATTTAAGCCGTCGCTCATCCCAAATGAACGACCACAGCCCGGTGTGAATTCAGTGGTAGGTAACAGAGATGAAGTGTCATATTCACTCACATGGTTCAAACAATGTCACTGCATTACTCCTTATTCATAGGCAGCCTGAGGTTATGAAATGCTCTGAATTGTTGTTAAAGTGTTAGTTTATATGATTTCCATGTGCGCGAACCTGTCAGTAAGAAAGGCACAGATGAGGTCTCTGGCGCCTTGAGACATGTCTTTGTCCTCTGGGAAGACGAGGGAGTTCTTGTGGTTCATGATCTTCCCATATGTTCCAATCAGGGACTCAGTATAGAAGGGAGTATCACCTGGGAGAGAAGGAGTTCACAACAAATAGATTGTTAGGATAGAAATGTGTAGGATTGTAACTGCCAAACAGTTTAAAAATGATCATGATGAATATGGCGAGTCACTTACCGACTAGCAACTCATAGATAACGATTCCTACGGACCACCAGTCGCACTCACGGCCGTAGTGACCATGACCGCCCTGAGACTGAAGCACCTCGGGGGAGATGTAGTCCGGCGTGCCTACAGCTGTGTCACAGTGCACCATGCCTGTCTGCAAACACAGAAACACACACAGTTAACTATAGGGAGAAAGCAAGAATTGGATTTCAGTGAGAGGAGGGAATAAATGCAACATATTTCCACAGACATGATGCAGGAACCATGACCACAACACACGTTACTCTTTTTAATGACTTCTCAAAAAATGTTCTTGTTTAAAATATCTCAAAAATGTTAACAATGCTCCGGATATTCTGAGACAAATGTTTATGAGACACTGTCTGCCTGGTGGAAGACTTTCAGAGAGCTCAGATGTGTGCAGCCACTTGTTGAACGTGCTACTTAGAAATTGCTGTGGTCAAAACAAAAAAGCTGGAGCAAAACTTCCTGACTCACAGCGGAGGCGGGACATCTGTTGTTCTCTAGAATTTATGTTTAGCACAATAACTGCTGGGGCCTTTTTAAAAACAACCAAATGCAAGAATGCCAGATTGAGCTTCACTTTGCAACCTGAACACTTGGTGGTGCACTAGGGCAGTGGTTCTCGAACTTTTTTCAATAATGTAACCCCTTTGAAAAAAAAATGCAGCCAAGTACCCCCTGATCAGCGCAGAAACAATTTGTTAGGGACAAAAAGCCTATATAAAGAGGTACAGTACATCGGTGTCTGATTTATTAAAACAACAACAGTAACTGAGAAACACTTAAATGCTTCATTTCAAATGTTTACAATCCATCACTAAATTCATGGCAAACCAATTTTAACATCATGCAATAACACTGAGATGACATTAGTTGCATTGAACTGATCTTTTTAATAAGTTGTACTTACAATGTAGTGAGAAACATGGGCTTGAGCTTCACTGAGGACCTTTGTCATTCTGACAGGGAGGCCACTGCAGTTATTACACTTAGCGTTTTGAAATATGTGTAACTCTGTTAATATAAAACCCACACTGCTCAAACTTCCTTACTTTTCCTAAAATTGGTATATTTATTATTTATCTATTTATTTAGGGGCGTGGGGAATGAAGAGAAAAAATATATGAGCATTTTATGAGCATGGGATTTTGACCCCTCATATAAACATATACATAATGCTGAGCTATACTTTGCAGCCACACGCCCTTGCCAAGCAACGCTTATTGTTTAGGTCCTTTTGATAAGCAGGCATTCTTCTAATTAACTAGAACTAGCTAGATCTGATAGATTTGGATATAAACGCGAGTGAAGTCTAACCGGACGCGAGAGAGAGATCAGAGATCAGATCAGCTGCTGCTGCTGACGGAGAACACGCAGCTCTGCTTGATCACAGCTCCGCCGCTGTGACGGACCGTTGAGTGGAGCAAAATACACTAAGAGTTAGACCTAACACTCTTAGCTAGTTTATCTACTCTGGAACTAGCTAAACTAGTTATAAATATATGTATTCTTTACTGTCGGGTCACTTATTACAGGTTCAGCGAGCTGCACGAGACTGACGGGCTGTCAGGAGAGGGAGAGGAAAAGAGAACGCCCCGTTTACTTTTCCCATTTTATTATCCAGAATTACTGTAAACCTTTGAATAAAGTAGTTCATCTACTATTATTAGTTTGGCTAAATGCATTAATTATGTTTTTTTTCCCATTAATATAAAATAAATCTCACATACCCCCTGCAGTACTCCAACGTACCCCCAGGGGTCCGCGTACCCCCATTTGAGAACCACTGTCCCAGTTAGTCAGGATAATCCTCTCAACTCACTGTGGACAGATAGGGACTATTTCTACAGCAGAAAGGAGTTAAAAGGAAAACGGGACATTACTAACTTCCGTATCAAACTTCTGGATACATGTTTAATAGATGTGTGTGTGGACTAGTTATGTAAACTAATTTTGTAGGCAACAGAAATGTAATATATAATCGATGAAAGTTGATCATCGTAATTTGTGTGAAAATAATACATTTGAATCAGGAGAGACTTTGTTTTGAGTGTAATATTATCATATGTATTGCCATATATACAACAATATGAAATGAGAGGAGAGCAGATTTAAACAGCGCTATGATTGGCTAAGAGAGTGAAACGCTGATCTAAAAACTGGGGCGACTAAAAAACCGCCTAAACTGGGGCGAGAGAGAGAATTTTGAATGATTGAATCGTCTTCCTGAATGATTCTGCGCTGACCTTCATTGAGTAACGTCTTTGTCCTTCCTTGTCTCCAGTTAAAGCTTATGCAATCAGAGCTGAACGTTGAAGAGGTTGTCAATGACAGAAGTCTGAAGGTAAGCTCACAATAATCAGAACATCCCATAACCACACTTCTCTGCTCGGTCATTATCTGACATGTTCCTGATTTCCTGTGTTCAGGTTTTCAGTGAGAGGTGCAGAATCCACTACACGCCTCCCAAGGTGAAGTGAAGCTCCGCCCGAAGCTTTACTCGAGGTCCAAGTCCAGACTGGAGCTGAGAGTGTGTGTCCTGCTGTGGAGCGTACACACACACACACACACACACCCCTCTGACCTCCAACACACCTATATTCCATGTGTGCATTACTACAGCTGTAACACAGTCATGCCTGTGCTTCTCCAAAGGGAGCAATTGTACAAAAAAAAAGATGTTTTTTTAAAAAGACAATGAAATGTTTTCAAGTGCCATGTGTTGTCTGTGATTTCAATCATTTGGGGGAACTGAGATGTATTGATCCATGTAGGGCAAATCGGGCTCATATCAGTATTTAGTGTCTCTACTGGGACATGTCTCCATGCTTTAAAGGGGACCGATCATGCAAAATGCACTTTTTGATGTCTTTATACATCAAAATGTGTCCCCGGTGTGTCGGGGAACTCGCAAAGTGTCGGAAAACCAAACCCTCCCTCTTTTCCTCCGTACCCAAATCTCTAAAAACGGGGGAACAACGGAGCTGATCCAGATTTGCATCCGATGTGACGTGATATCTCAAATGTCGACCCGCGGCCCAATCAGAAACAATGCCCGACTGTTTTGGACGAAATATTGTCTTTGTTTACATTAGCATCGCTAACAGTCAGAGCTAACCTGCACTGGAGAGAGTATGTGTAAAAAAGCCGGAACTATAAAAAGGAACTCTGAGAGAGAAAAAGTATTTGAGCTCCTACTGTTTCAGAAATACTCCTTGATGTGGTTTAGATCATGATGACGTTTAGCTGAGTGTCTCTTAGAATTCTGAGCAGGCATTAGCTTAAGCTAAGGACCCAGATCAGCAATTCTCTAACAGGGCTGAAATAGAGGGAGATGAGGGATGTCTAAGAAACTCTGGAGAGAATTCTTTTTATTTTACAGATTGAATTTTACATAACCCTTTAGACATATTTTAATATGAGAATGCAACCATTAAAGGCGGGGTAGGTAAGTTTGAGAAACCGGCTCGAGATACACTTGTTATATATTATATACATGGAATGCTCTTAACATCCCGATAGCAATGAATATCTGAAGTGCTTTCACTAAAAATCCATGAAAACATTTAATCTGTGGAAGCTGTAATACTGTAAAAAGCACGACCAATCATCTGAGCCGGCTAAAGTAACTGGATGGCCTACCTGCCTGTCAGCCTTCCATCTGTGCACAAACTTATCTCGTGCCCTCATTGGTCATGTGCGCGTTCGTGTGTGTTGGAGGAGGGGCTCTGTGAGGAAGGGGCAGATTTTTTCCGGTTGTGTATTTTCAAATTCTAGCGCACTCGAGCTGCTTTCTCCAAAAAATAATGTTGTATACCACAACGAAGTATGTTGTCTTTCACGAATTAAACGAATAAAAGCAAACATATTTAACAAAAATAAATAAATCAAAGAATAGGCATCAATAAAACAAGTAATGTTATGCCACACAAGAATCGCAAGAAATTTCGCTCGAAGATATTGAGGAAGGACACTTCGATGAACAAGAATAATTTTCTACACAAACAAATTGAAGATTGATTTCGTTCACACCAAACACAAAACATAAACAACATCCCACCCCCTTACCACGAAAAGTTACACTATGATATCCTGGTCGTTTGGTTTTCTTATAGTAAAATTTTGACCCCTCTATTTTTTTTACACTATTTATTTACTTACAATTTCAGTTTATTCTATACTTACTTGTTGTTTTTATTTTATCAATGTCAATAAACAATAACCGATACCATCCAATAACCAAAGTACAAGGTGGGGGGGGGGGGGGGGGGGGGGGGGGATGAATAAACTAATAATTTTACCATTGGCTAGAAAAAGGTTACCCACAAAAATCTCAACATGCGGGAGTCTAACATGTGAACTAAATAAATCTAGATTAAGACGCAGTTTCACGTGTCTACTTCGTGAAAATGAATTTTACAATTCTGAAAAAACTTCTGGGGGCGCCCTTGGTTAAAGTCCCAACCTCCTTAAAGACCTATTAACTAACAACGTAGTTCTTCGTAAACCTGACAACGTCCTTTTGTTTCAAGACTAACTTAAAAACATTTTTATACTTTGAGGAAACAACTGGAGTTTCTCAACAGATGATCAAAGCTAAGAACTCTCTACGTAAAACATCGATTCGACATAATATTATTTAAACACCTCATTGTAGTGTAATAAACATGGACTAGTGGCAAAGTTTTCACGTTAACCGATGAATTCCA